ATCTTTTATTTATATTCCCTTGCAGTGCTTAGCCTTGCAGCCTAAGCAAGAATTCAGATCGCCTGTCAGAGGGGGTTCTGGGTGGCCCCTCTCTGCTTGGTCTAGGGGCAGAAGTCCCCCCTTTTAGGTTAGGTGGAGATGGGTTTTGGGAATACCCTGTATAAAGTAACAACCTCATCTTGAGTCTCATGGTCCTCCATAGCTAACTTATGATAATGTATCTGAGTAGTTTTTGCTACCAAATTATTTATCTGTTATCACAGAGTTAGTCCACCTATTTGAGGGCCAGGGACCAGCAGAAAAAAGCAAAAAGAACCCAAATAATGGTCCCAAGATGGGAAGAAATAGGGCTGACAACCTTGGAGAGGCTGAAAATCAATTCTTGTACCAACATTCATCTGTCGCTGTCTCTGTCTCTGATTTTTCTTAGGGCCTTCTCTGACCTATTTCATGCTTTCTTTAACCCTCCTTGTCTTGTCTATGTAAAGGCAACCTTCTTCTTTAAGGGCTGTACACAGTCAACAGCTGTACACAGCCTTTTCTATTATAATAGAGTAAATCAAGTCCAATAAGGATCTTTGTGATTTTAGGAGGTCTCTTCAGACAGCAAAATGAGGGATTTCTTCAGATTAGTGATGTCAATCTTTAGCTGTTTGATGTTCTTGTCAGTGGCCCTTCAAAGGTCTGAGTAGTATAAGTTCGGAGGCCAGCATCTGGATTAGAACTTCTAACAGCAGACATCATGGGTGATTCATTTTTACCTGGGATGCTGCCTGAGTTAAAGCTCCTGGGAGTCCCTCTTTCTCTCGGTTTTCTGGGGTTGGTTACGGAGCTGCCGCCTGTGACCTGCTCTATGCTCGGGCCCAGAACAGAAGTGACACCTTCGGTTTTTAAGACTCTGAGGATTCATCATCTCAACCAACGCAAACATCGTTCAGAAGATTGAATGACGTAATACATGCAAAGTGCCCCCTTGTCTACAGCACTTTGTCAATGGTTGTCACATTATCTTAGGTGTGTACACACCTCATGCAACACCTCTGTTGGATCCGTGGAGGTAAACAAACCATGGCACAGTCTCACTCATAAACATACTATATGAGTTGGTTTCAGCGTTGGGAGACTAGCTTGGTTTGGCAAAATGAGTTCCATACTCAGCATCCATGAAAAAAAAAACAAATCAAAACAAGCAAACAAACAAATCAGGCATGGTGATATACACTTGTAATCTCAGTCTTCAGGAGCAGAGATAAGAAAGATCCCAGGGCTCACTGGCCAGTCAGCCACAACCACTTGCCTAGATCCAGTCTACAAAGAGAGCTCAAAAACAAACTAGGTAAATGGCTCCTGAAGAATGACACCCAATATTGACCTCTGGCTTCTAAATGTGTGTGCACAGACGCACATAAGCATATATATGCACACACAGAAATCACACATGCATATCCACACACACAAATTGATCCCAGAGAAATTGAACTGAGTAGTTATGAACTCAGTTGAACTGTGGTACTTCTCAGAGGCTTGGGAAGTGAGAGAGGAAGGTTGTGAGGAGAAAGTTTGACTAAGAGTACTTAGTTCCAGTGAGATAGGAAAAGAAGTTCCCAGGATTGTAATGTACTACAGCAAGACTACATAAGGACCGTGACGTTGGCAGGAAGCTAGAAGAAAGAATTTGGAGACTGGTAAGATGGTTCAGTGGGTAGGGACATTGGTAGCCAAGCCCGATGATCTGATTTCAATTCTCAGAACAATATGTGAAAGAGAAAATCAACCCTTATAGCTTGTCCTATCATGGCCACATGTTCGCTGGGGTATACACAACCACCAACACGTCACATACATTAAGTAAATAATTAAAATAATTTTGAATGTTTCCCTCATAATGAACAATAAATATTTTGGAAGATAAATACATATACCCTGATTTGAACATTCTGCAAAATATTGTTGGGTAACCTATATGGTTTCATCTACCCACTTAAAGAAAATAAATATAAAGAACAAACAAACTAAAACTGAATAAGTTTGGTAAAGACACAGGCTGATAGCATCATCAGAATGAGGACCCGCATGCTCTTCCACAACAATCTTCATCTGTGCCTCTGAGTCCTTTCATAAAGTAAAGGATAAAATCCTGGATATTAAAACAACACTTAATTATTGGCCAGTGTCTGAATAAGCTCTGATATCTTGTGACATCACCAATGTTTCAAATGTGCTTTGATATTTCCCAAAGTACTTAGCTATGAGAAAATAATCAGACACAGAGCAACATATATAGATCATGCACCAACACAGCAAAGCATGTTCCCTATCTTCATGGTCTCACTGTCTAAAGAAGAAACTCAACATAATTCAGAATCTAAATTTTACACTCAAGACGGATCATCTCTCAGGCTATGATATCCACTGCATTTAAATATAAGGTTCCCACCACATACTACAGCATGTATAAATATAATTATTCTTTTACTGAAAAATATTTCACAGCTATTTCCTATCATTTCATCTGGTATCGACGGTCTCAGATTCTACATTAATTTGTACAGTATGCTCCTAAAACAGATTTGGAAGCTTTTTTTTTTTCTTCACAAAAGGCCAAGTAAAAAGTCAAACACATCCAACTAATTGAATTATTATAAAAGGAGTGGCATAAAACACTGCCCTTGTACTTTAAAGTTTCATTTTTAAATAAAAACTGAAGAAAAGCAATATGAGATCAAATTTATTCACAGAGAAGGGAGCTTGGTCTCCAACTTATTTAAGAAGGAAGTTACACTGTCAAGATAAGAAATTAAAGGGCTGGTTACCCTGAGGATGTCAAATCCCATATAGCATCTGAATTCCCTTGCCCTACCCATATCATTTGAAATAAATGGATAGGCCAGCTCTACTTTGTGAATACGATACAATCCTGAGGTGTGTCATCTGTTAGGACTCACATTTTACTTGCTGGCTTCTGAGAAGTATCACACACGTGACCTTTCCAGAGAAGACTTCCCTAATCACCAAAGACAAAACTCAGTGACCCACAAAGGCGACATCCACCCCATCATCCCTCCCCAAAGCTGCTGTATGCTAGACACACTCCCAGCTCACCTGGATCAGTGTCTCCAGTTCCTGGGGGCTCACACAGATATGATCTCTCAAGAATTCTGCCTTCTCCAAGGCAATTGTGTTCTTCTGACTGCTCTCAAAGGGCTGTTCCAATGCCCGGAAGACAAGGCCACCAGTGACGAGGTAGACCACGACCACCACAAAGATGGCAACCACTGTTTTCCACTTCATAACTGTTTGCAGGCCTCCCTGGGAGGCGCCTTCCATCCTGGCTACCACCGTGGCTCGGGAGGAAATGGAGAGTCGAGGAACAGGATGGTGCCCGTTAGTGGCACTCTTGGGCTGGCACACTGCTGGGGCTGCTGCAGGCACGGCCACTGAGGACGCAGGTGGAGGAGAAGAGAAGAGAAGAAGAGAATTCATTTATAACAACAAAACACCAAAGTCATCAGAAACAAAGAACAGATGTCTTCCTTCAGCCGCCTTTCCAAACGTGAGCACGAAAAGCTGGTTCACCAAGCCTGCAGCTGGGGAATTTTATTAGTTGTTAAGTATCTGATTTTTGTTGTTGTTGTTGTTTTAATGAGTTCTTAAAGGGGAGCATCAGGAGCCCTAATTCTATGGGAAAGCATATCAGTTGAGTTTAAAACACTTATATTTTCTTACAAGGATCTAATCTGTAAGGCTATCCGTATTTATTTATACCTCATGTCCTCCCTCCGCTCCCATGCTCAAACAGGTACAAACCATCATTTCTGAAAAACAAGCATCTCATTCAGACCAAAGAAAAAGAAACAGAAGAAGGAGACACAGCTATTCTGTCCCAGTACAGACACAAAGAACGGATGGATGTTAAAAACCCATCTTGGAAACTGGGGAGAGGTACAGAGGCTCAAATCTATGACTCTAACACTAGTGGGTGGACTCAAGAAGATGCCTTGGGTTTGTTGGTCAACAAAAAAAAGGGGAATTGTTGAGGTTTGATCTTTTGATATGTCTTGTAATGATAAGTACTGGCCCCCAAAGACTGGATGCTCCCAGGGACTAGAGTCTGCAAGTACCCAAGTATAACTATGTAACAAGTACCCAAGTATAACTATGTAACAAATACCCAAGTATAACTATGTAACTATGTAACTATGTAACAAGTACCCAAATATAACTATGTATTTATATAACAATTACCACTTTATTATCCCTAATTGGTAAAGACAAGAGAGACGGGGAGGAAGAAGGATAGGACTTCCTGGCTTGAGGGTTAGAGGGATCACAAGGAGGGAGAAGAAGGTGGAGAGAAGAAAAGGAGCCATGGGTTAGGAGTCAAGAAAGCATGGCCATGAGGGCTGGCCAATTGGAGTTAAGAGCGGCCCAGATGAAACATAGTAAGTAATAACTCAGGGTTATTGATAGAAAATAGATTTTAATAGTATAGAGGGTAGATATCTGTCCAGCATTAGTTCTAATAAAAGCTTACTATAAATATAAAGTGTGTGTGTGTGTGTGTGTGTGTGTGTGTGTGTGTGTGTGTGTTTTATAACTGATCAAAGGCAGAGTAGAAACCCCAGATTGGGATTAAATTTTTCTTTTTTTTTTAAAAGATTTATTTATTTTACTTATGAGTACACTGTAGCTGTCTTCAGACACACCAGAAGAGGGCATCGAATCTCATTACAGATGGTTGTGAGCCACCATGTGGTTGCTGGGATTTGAACTCAGGACCTCTAGAAGAGCAGTCAGTGCTCTTAACCGCTGAGCCATCTCTCCAGCCCAAGGGATTAAATTTTTCTACAACAGTGTCTCCAATACATAAGGCCAGTAGGAAATACATGACACTGACCTCTGACCTACACACACATACACAGGTACACATACACACAGGCACTGTCTCACACACACACACACACACACACACACACAGGCACACATACCCACATGCCAGCAGATCCACATAGAAACACATACATACACTCCTCACCCACACAGCCACACAAACTCAGAGATAGGGGCTGCAGAATTAAAAGCCTGTCACAAAAGGAAGGAAAGAAGCCGGTCCCTTGCTAAGGAAGAAGAGTCAAAGGTCAGACACAGTAGAGAGGTTTGGGATATCAGAAGAGAGGTAGCTATAATTGGAGAAGGAAGCAAGAGTGATGGTTTATGTCAATTAGCCCTCTTGCCTGAAAAAAATAATAAGGACAAAATAGATCCCAAGTGTATTGCCTAACAGAAAATGCAATGACTTTGCTGTAATCACTCCTGAGCTATTAGCAACTGAAATTTTTTCTTCGATTGTCATCCAATAAAAAGCCACTGGAAATGAATTTTCCCCTGGTGCTCAGAACACAGAGTTCATTAAAATCCCTAGTTTTCTATAAAGGCAATTTCATTACCTTAGAAATAAATACATTAAGCCGGCAGATTTTCTGCCAGAGCAGGAGGTTGGAGGTAGCGCCGTGTACTACAGATACCTGTCTTGTGCAGCGATGAGCAATTGAGGCACTCGAATCTGTTCTTGCCTTTATTATCCTGATTCTCATTCTGCCTCTGCTTGGGCAGCACCCTGGCTGTGGTGTAAATACAGTCTTAGCACACACATGCAGCAAATCATACTGCCCCAGTGAGGAGGCTAGGCCGCTCCGTCTCTGTGCTGGGACTGTCAAGAAGATTTTGTCACTGCGTTCTTGAAAACGGGGCCTGATCTTGACCACACCTGGCTAGAGGGGTGGCACTTAGAAAAATCTGACTATAAATATATGTTCTTCTAGGCCCTGGAAATCAGTTTTTTCTCTTTGAAATCTGGCTGAACTTTTCCTATATATTACTGTTCAACAGTTATTCAATATTAAATTCTTCTTGGATTTAACATGAATACAAAATTCTGTGTAGTCTCCAAACAGTCTATAAATGAGAATCATTCAATCCAATTAGGAATCATGTTCGTTGATGCCCCTCTAAAGACGTTAAACTCAGGCTTTCAGTTGCCCTTGTAGACACTGAGAAGAGTCTTTTCGTCTAGGACAGCTTTTCTTTAACCCTGCCCAACCTTCTCATCCATTCTGCCTCTGCATCCATGGCTACCAGACTTATCCAGGCATCATCATGTCCTGTTTAGACCAACCTAGCAGCCTCTTAAGTCACTTCACTATTTCCACTTCTACCTAGTTCTGGCCCATTAATCTCGAGTTAAATCTTACCTCTGGAAGTATCTCTTCCCATCCCCAAGGTTTGCAGAAAAAAATAGCCTCCAAAGATATCCACATCTAAGCTCCAGCACCTGCCCAAACATTATCTTACATAGCAAGATCCTAGGGTGAGGAGGTTATCCTAGACTGTGGCTGTCATCACAAGACCACATGACAGTAATTCAAATGGAAAATAAAGGCATAGGCAGAGGCTAGAATTATGTGAACTGTGGGTCAAGCAATATGGTCCCACTAGAAAATGGTTCTCCCCCTAAGCCTCCAAAAGAAACCAGTTAATTATAAATTTGAGGCCACTATGCTTGTGATCATTCATTAGCAGCCCCACAAAATAAATATCACTCACCTCACTTCTGTGTCCCCAGGGACCTGCACAATGTCTGATACACAGTACGCAGTCAACTGGTGATGACCAGATAAAGCAATGTGGATGGAAGGAAGGAAAGTTGGCACAGTGCGATCACACACACAATGCAGACAAGCACTGTCTGACTAACCACAGTGACCATGCACCCATATGGAAAAGCAGGCCTGTTCTTACCTCCACACAATAGCCCAGAATCTACAAACCCACATCCACATGGTCCTCAGCCCAAAGCTGCCTCCTCTGTGAAATCTTTCTGGATTCTTCTGTGCAGACTCACCAACTTGTCTCCACACCCTGTCTCTCCTCTAGCCTGTTTGCTTTTGGAATCAGAGAAGATCATCACTCTTTCTTCTTTCTTATTTAGAAAGGGTCTCACTATGTAGCTCAGGTTAGATTTAACGTTGAAGTTCTTCAACCTGTGTCTCCAGAATGCTGGGATTAGAGGTGTGTGCCATGGCTCAGCAGTAAGTTCATCTTCAGTTCTTCGTACCTCACCAAAGGAAAGGCGAGTGTTTGTTTCCTTTTGTCATTGTCATTGTTATTAACAATTATTTTAAACTACATGCAATCGAAACCTCAGAATTACCACCACAATAAGTATTAACATTAATTACCTCAACAATAAGCATTTGGTTAACACTGAGGGACCTAAGAGGCTACAGAGGTGCCTCCTGCCTCCTAAGACAGCTGACTAGGTTCTCTGCTTCCAGAGTTCAGCAAACTGCTATGCACCAACATGGCGTCCCGTCTCTCCCAGACTGAACTCTGTGACATCAAGCCATAACTTGGATTCTTCGTCTCCTTATGCTTCGTCTCCTTGGTTCTTGTTCATTTGTGATAGCTATCATCCAGATTCCAAGTCCTGAAGTTTCCAACAATGCGGACTAAGGGAGGCCTACCCTTGGCCACTGTGAGCACCTTCCCCAAGGGCAACAAGATCATCTGTAGTGCCCTGACCCTAAACATCATACATTCCATCTCTTCTTAGTGTCCTCCTAGGGAGGGGCCCCTCTAGTCCTTTCACTGATGTCCCTATAAAGCTCTGAAGATGCCAAGAGTAGTCACTGCACCCTACTCCAAAACACTGGGTTTCAACTCCTTGAGGAGGGTAGTAAGCCATGATGAAAATAAATACATGAATTAAATATATTAAATGTTAAACTTGAGGGAAAATGAGTGATCTTGTAGCTGGATAGGAGACAGACAAACTAATCCAACAAGAAAGACATGGCACTATAGAAAATAAATAAATAAAAGCTTATAGCTGACTAGTTTTTGTTTGCATTTGGTCCCAAATGTATTCCATCAGTCTACTTTATATATTACAGAATAACCTAATAAGATTCAATAAGCCCTGTAACATCACATGAACAGTTTAAAGGCCAAATATGCTGTACAGTATACAGGTGAATTGTCATGTGCAGCCTAAGCCTGTTGAAAGCATCAAGAACCTGTGTTTAGATAGATCATAGGCTCTAAGGGCAAACCTCCGCTATTATTCTGCTAAATAGACATTGTATTAAATTTACTCCTAAAGACTATTTGTTATACCACAGATTAGTACTCTCAGCGCTCATCAGAGAAGCTTCTTTTGCAGTAGATGCCATTAACACGGGAATCCATAACTTGTCAAGCTGCAGAGAATAAGAGTGCAGAGTACGCAGCCCTAAATGGGACAACTGTATCACACCCCTCTTCCCAAGGCTCAGGGATCGTTGTGAGAGAAGAAGCACACACCCAAGAGTGTATAGGCAGCACAAAGGGAACTTGACAGACTTTAAATGGGATGAGGGAGACATAACAGGTGGATGGG